GAAATCGTCGACAAAAAATTGCGGACACATCTACACACACACACAGATACACACATCCATTTTTTCTAAGGTATGCCGAAATGTTCAGAAACCTTTAAAACGTGAAGATACGCAAAAATTTTCATTTTTGGTTTTCGGCCCATTACTATAACTTACCCTACGGGAAGTATTTTATTCGACGTATTACTCTTACATTATTACAAATACAATAATTTTTATATTTTGCTTAAATAATTATTTGTTTCTTTTGCATTTTGAATCATATGCTAAAACTGTGCGATCCACCTGAGTTGTCTATAGGTATCTTTTCCAATGTGAAATCTTTTTTGGAATTTCGATATCGTTTTCATGTAAGGACATATTACAATAAGAAGTTCATTTGTATTCAATACATCAAGTACTTCCAATAAATATTCTTAATATATTCACTACGAAGCAATACGAATTTATTCATCAAACGTAAGTGAGGCAAATCAATTAGTCAGCTCGTATTTAATTTGTATGGTTATATTATTTGACTAACCCTTCAACGGACCAGAAGTTCTTAGACCTTTTTTTGAACAACTATCCTTTTTCTGATAAAATGTCAAATTACTGTTTGCTCGAATCAACTTCGAGTATCTCTCGTCGGGAGTAATGTGATTGAGTAAGAGCTACTCTTTTTGGCAGTAATTTGGTTTTCTTAACTATAGCACAATTTATGGTGAAAATGGATATTACTACTAGGTAGTCGTTTGGCTGCCTTTTTTGGTTCCATCCACATTCTCATTTCTCTCCTAACTGTTTTTATTCGGTGCTATAACTAATGCAATGTTTATTGCATTTATAAAGTGTCATTTATACGACATATTGATCTGATTTGATGATTTGTAAATGACGCAAGTTCGTAAAGTTTCCCATGCTGTGTATTAAGAGAAGAGAAAACCATTTGAGCTCCGAGCTATGACTATGGCCTGTTAATAAACTGGTGACGATTCCCCTGCGTCATAGAACTCCTATCTGGGAATCTTTCATTAGGCAGCACCATAAAATACTTTATGGATAAATAAGAAGTAATACGATTATCGTAACAATAAACCGAAGGCGATCTGATCAGGGCCGAACATTTTACAATGGTAATTGATTCCAAGAAATGGTAAAAAAAAATTAGGTTATAGGGCCATCTAGGGATTCTTAAATGGTGCGTCTACTTTAGGTCACTTTGACCAGAACCAAGTCTTGGAGTAAGTTAATGTAATCGCAAAAAAATCGAAAATTAACATTTTTATATATCTTCACGTTTTAGAGGTTTCTGATCATTTTGGCATACCTTATAAAAAATGATGTATGTGTATGTGTGCGGATACAAATTTTCATCGACGATTTCGGGAATGCGGATCAACCGATTTAAATAATTTATGAAACATTCGATTTCTATTAATAAGGAGACGTGCTGATTAGTTTTTGGCAAAGGCAGGTCTAGACGTTTTGAAGATACGACGCAAAAAGTGCCAAAAATTGTAATTAAACTTTTGAGAGAACGGATTTCAATAATTCAAATAATATTTTACTTATATTGACACAATGAAAAATTTATTAAACTTTTGGGAAGGCAGGTCTAGCTGTTTCGCAGATCGAGTGAAAAAAGTGAAAAAAAATGCAATTTGGGTGTCAAAAATGATCATTAGACATATGCACATCAAATTAACAATATAACCACAGTAAACAGTATAAACATAGTTAAACCGTTAAACTGGGACGCGGCGCTTACGCGCTTCGAGATTTCTTTTCTAAAACAGCCATGCAGCACGATTGATTAGAAAAAAAGTTCACAATTTTTAAAATATAAAAAGTTCAAATTTTTCAAAAAAGTTAATTTTTCAAAAATTTTATTTTTTCAAATTTTTCAAAAATTATAAAGGCTTTTTTAAAGATTTTAATTTTTGGTACGGGAAGTTGCAGCAGTTTGCCTTATGGCACGATGCCATGCATCACTAGTTTACTTTTTTATTTTTTTTGTAAAATATTAAAAACAAATGTTTGTATTAGAGCTTTTTCGCTTGATAGAGTTCTAGACGAGATCATTTTAAAAATACAATTTGTTTTAACATATATTTTGAAAGAGATTCTTTGCACTATTAGAAGGTCATTTATTTATTGTTCTTACTAATTGAATTTATATTTTTTACTTCTGGACACTTCTAGGAAGCAACACAACTTTGCTTTCCTCTATAAATATAAATTAGGATTATATTTTAAAGTGAAAACTGTTAACACTACTGCTTGATACCGAGGTAGACGAAATTACTTATAATATACTTATTGAGCTTGTCCTTGGCTTCGTGGTAAAAGCTTTGGTCTTGCAAACATAAGGTCCAGATTCTATCCCCATTTTGGACAACTTGATATCCAGATATCATCTTAAATCCGATTTTAAGTGGAAATAGCTTTTCGGGGCTTTGCTGCAATATCACATCACTATAAGAAATATTTTATAATATAATTGTATTATATTACTAGATTGCCTTCTAATAATTCTACTATATCTCAACAGCTCATAGAGCACTAAAAATAGTTCTGATAAAAAAAAATAAAGTTTTTTGTGAGAGTAATATAATTCTTGATAAATACCTCGAAAAGTTGTTTCTGGGAATAACATAATTGCTGACATAGAGAAACAAGCATTGCTGACTAAGATTCAAAGACTTAGACCTTGACCCCAGGACCCCAAGTGCAAAACCTGTGTAAAATAACAATTAATAATTTGTTCTGGTTTTTATAAAAAAAAATATTTTCTCCAAATCAAAAACCGAGGGGAGTTACTATAAATAGATTTATATTGTTTCGTCGTTTTATAATACTTAATTTTGGCAATTTAACAAATAAACTTTTACGACATTTCATATATCTTTATTATGCATTACACAGTAGACTTTTAGTAATCCGCATTGAGTTACAAACAATTCGTAATGGCAAATTCTATAAATACAAACCCACGAAATCACTTCTTGGACTCTTGAATACAACAAAGTATTTTTAAAAGTACCATCTCATTCTCAACGCCAAACATATGCAATCCTTAGGAATTCTACCGGCCGTAAATTTTAATTCAATTAAACTTTACGGCCGGTTTATTTGCAAACATTGTTATAAACATTCACGTCATACAAATTGCTAAAACAAACACTATTTGGATACTGATAATTGACTTAATTTTATTACAAATATTTTTAGGCACAATTCTATACGGATCAATCATGTACTTTATTCGGAGCACCTTGGTGATGACCTTCCGAAATTGGTTTGGTTACGATATCTATACCGCGATTATTTTTATGATGAATAGATAAATAACATTTACTTATTGATAATAATTTATTATACTTACTAAACTTATCCATATCTTCTAAATCTTTGGTATATAGCAACATTCGTAAAATTGAAGAACGACATTTTTAACTTCCCGTAGGTGTGTGTGTGTGCGGATACACATTTTCGTCGACGATTTCGGGACACACGGATCAACCGTGTAAAAAAATCTTTTTTTTAAAAAAATTGCAAAATTTTTAAAAATTAAACTTAAGGCACGATGCCATACACCACTAGTTTTTCAGAATAAACTCGTAGCTGGCCTGAGTAAGCACTTGGTCTAGCAACCGATGGTTTTGGGTTCGGTATGCTCTCCCCCAGCATGATATCAAGCAGTAGTGATATTCATTTAAGATTGTGGGTCTAAAATATGACATCAAGTGAAAACAGCTTTTAAGAGCATTGCTTCTAAAATAACTCAGTCAAAAATACTAATCAAGTATATCAATCAACTATTAAGGACAATTACTCTAATATCTTCTATATCTTTTGTTAATATACCTGAATATATTAACAAAACAATTGCTAAATATCTTCAATAGACAAATTGTAATTCAATTAGATATAAAATTAAAAACATTTGACCAATATTATCTCAATATAGTAATTGCTTTTTTGAGTTAACCAGCAGGAACATAATTAAATTATGAGATTACCTCATATTTCTAATATTTCAAATGGATTTATGAACATTTTATGTTTCTGTATAGACTAATGTAGCATAAATATTATTGAAGCCACGTGCAGTTTTTAATTAAATTAATATTTTATTTTAAATTTCTCTATACTAATGCAATTTATCTATATTTTGATCATTATATTTTTCAATTTAAAGAGTTTCAATCAACTTTAAAGATCAATTCTATGTTCACCAATTGTAAGACATTTCTTCGGTCTTTCTGTAGTCCGTATCTCCGATCCATACTGATTTATCCATAGTTTACTCATTTCTTATGCTCGTCAAGAATTGTTACTTATATCTTAATTTCTGGTCAAAAGATGGGCTAATCCAATCTCCTGTTGATTCAATAGTCGCATTCGTAATACTTCCTCATTTCTGATTTTACAGGTCAGTTTCAACATTTCCATTTTAAAACTGTTTAGATATCTTGTCAGTCTTCCTGGAGTCCTTGTCTTTGATCCATAGATTACTAATTTCTTTTTAACGTCCGCAATTGTTAGTTACTTGATACAAATTAGTTTTTGTGATGGGCCCAATCTAATCTTCTGTTGATTTTATAGTCGCATTCGCAGCCGACGTTGTGGATCAATTTCATCTTCTCTATTTAACAACTCTTCAGATATTTTATCACTCTTTCTGGAATCCTTGTTTATTATAGTTTGCTAATTTCTTTGTCACATCGGAAGAAAATTGTCAACTGTTAGTTATTTCTCCTGATTGTGCAAATGTTAAGTGGGTCAAATCCATTCTGCTCTTTGTTTTATAATCGTAATATTTTGTCAGCCTTTTTTCAAAATCTATACCAATATATCTATAGATTAATTTGTGCTAAATGTCCACATTAAATCAAGACATCAGTGTTAGTTACTTCATATTCTAATAAACATCTATGTTTAATTGATACAATACTAATTAGTTTATGGCTTAGAATAATTGCTTTGATAATAATCGATTCTTTTCTCCTTTTCAGATCCCAAACTGAGCGATGGCCACCATAGATGGGCGACCAGCCCAATATGGGATCTCCTTGAAACATCTACGGGAGTTAATGGAACATCGCGGAAGAGAAGGTGTAAACAAGATTAACGAATTAGGGGGAGTGCAAGAGATATGTAAAAAATTGTATACATCACCTAGCGAAGGTAATTACTTTCAATTTAATCCGACATCATAAAGAAATAAAATTCCATTCCTCTATTGTCACTACGCAGACCCATTAGTTTTTGTTCACCAGCAGGTTTATTTACGGAGGAACAGGTATTAAAAATGAGCCTTTCAGAGAAGAAAAATGAGAATTTAACATATGCATTTTAAATTATGAGGATTTTCAGAGATTCTGATGTGTATAAATTCTTCTTACTAAGTTTTGGATGCGTGCCAACATATGAGGATTTTTATAATTTACTCGGAACGTTAAAATTCACTCTGAAACTTTGATTATATACATGGAAACGAAAAAGTCTTTGAGTTTTTATTATTCACTTGATTTAATGTTCGGTACCAGACTGAAATTTTGAATTATTTTGCGTAATAATAGAAATCTGAGTATTTTTTTGTGGAGCTAGTAATAGGAAATTTTATCAGGATTAATGCTATATTTTTAATGCAAAATTATATGCTTACTCAAATGCTTTAAAACCTAGCTTAGAATATTGGATTAGTTTCAAGTTTACAATAAAATAAATTTTCAATAAATACTATGTTTCTCTAATACCTCATAATGTGGATTCCAGGAATTTGCATTACTAATGAGTGTACTTTATTAACTATTTATCAGATTTATCAGATAGAAATATTGTGAATCTAACAAATTTATCAAAGTCGAGTAATAATATTCAACTATACTTCAACATTTTTCAGATTCAACTTATCAAAATGCCACTGATAAACATTTTCTTCTCAACATTTGCTAGTTTTTACGTCATAAACGTGGATTTTATAAAAAAATGTCCTTCAATACAAAGAGCTGCTTTTGATAAATCCACTTATTCCATATATAATATTTTAGAATCAGTTAGATCATTTATAATGACTTATTCCAAATCTATTTATCACCATTTCCTATTAATTAAAATTATTTTTTCTTATGACTACTATTTGATATTGTCAAACCAAACCCTGCTGGATGACATAAATAATGGATCCTTATATAATTGATATTTCCATTTATGATTTAATAATTCTTTTATCTAGGCCTGAGTGGTTCACAAATAGACACAGATCATAGAAGAGAAACATTTGGATCCAACACGATACCACCTAAACCTTCAAAAACATTTCTTCAACTTGTTTGGGAAGCGTTGCACGATACGACGCTTATTATTCTCCAAATAGCTGCCATAGTATCTCTCGGTCTATCTTTCTATCAACCTGCCGACGATTCGGGTAATTTACTGTTTATTTCACCACATTACTATGTTTGGATGCTTGATTGACACCTTTTTTTCCAGCTGGGCCCATCGAGGACGACGAAGGACATTACGGATGGATCGAGGGCCTTGCTATTCTTGTTTCAGTCATAGTTGTAGTTATAGTAACAGCTTTTAATGATTATTCAAAAGAAAGACAATTTAGAGGATTGCAAAGTAAAATTGAAGGCGAGCATAAATTTTCAGTTATTAGACAAGGAGAAGTGAAACAGATATCGGTTGGTGATATTGTCGTCGGCGATATTTGTCAAATCAAATATGGAGATCTTTTACCAGCGGACGGTTTATTGATCCAGAGTAATGATCTGAAGGTAAATTATGAGAATATTTTTATAGAATTGTTGCTTCGTTAGTTCTTCATTTCTCATTGCACCATTTTCCCTCCTAGGTGGACGAATCCTCCCTGACGGGAGAGTCCGACCATGTGAAGAAAGGCGAGTCCTTCGACCCGATGGTCCTGTCGGGGACGCACGTCATGGAGGGCAGCGGCAAAATGCTGGTGACGGCCGTCGGCGTCAACTCGCAGGCCGGCATCATCTTCACACTGCTGGGTGCTGCAGTCGACCAACAGGAACAAGAGATCAAAAAGATGAAGAAAGGTATCAATATTGTAGGATCATTAGATTTCGTTCATAATCTCATCACCCGCCTCGACTACCGTAACTGCAAGTTTAATAATAATAAATTGTAGTAATAATAATAATAAACAATATGACTCAGTTGATTCGAAAACTTTCAGTTATGGTAGCTTATCACAAAGACACATACATAAAGTAATGTATGCACTATGATTTATGTCAGATTGCTGCATACAAATGTTAATTATTTCGAAATATCTTCTTGCTATGACTGTCTTTTTACCAAAATTTCAAGTGTTTCAGTTTATAATTGTTGAAGATGTATATGTTGATATCAATTATTACATAATGTATAATGCATATATTGGTAAAATACAATATATTTTACATAAAACACAAACTTGGTTGAAGCCGTAATGCTAAAATTTGATCATGAAAGAAAAATTCTATCACATTTTTTTAAATTATCAAATACAAAACAAGGAGCAGCGTTATTAATGATATACACGATTATTCTCCTGTCTTTCAAATTTTGGCATTACGAACTCATTTATCTCGGCTAAAATTCTTTGGAATAAGTATTTATATTATGATACTCCCTGGTAGTTTTCTATTCCACATCATGTGTGTTTCTAATTGTTTCGTACCACCCCACAAAGTTATATTAAATATCTATTTAGTGTAAATAGATCTGTATTGTATATATTTGCATCGATTTGTCTTCATTCCATAAAATTGTGTCATGGTTATATGAATATGTTCCTATAGTATTTGATTTTAGATTTATATGGGGTAGTTAAAATTGATTGCACAATTTTTACAAGACGTAAAATAATATCAAATAAATTTTAAGCCACATTTATTAAGTTTGAATAATTAAATTTAAATATAGACCCTACTAACAATCTTGAGCAGTAAATTGTTTTAATTTCAATATTTCTGATTTTTATATAATGAATATATTTATCGTTAGTTAGCAGAATACTAACAATAACATCTGTTTAATTAATAAAGTATTTATAGCATTTAATATAATTTGGACAGCCGTGATTTGAATTGAATCTGATGATATTATTGTTAGTATCTTTGAGACGAATATTGTTCCAATGGCACTGAACATTTGAATTTGTCATGTGACTATAAAAATGCATTTATCCCATTCACTTGATATGATATATAAATGTACCCTTTCCAATTAGGATTTTTTTATATTTATTCATTTTCTAATATATTTGTTTTGCATGTGTCTTATACAGAAGCTAAAAAGATGCGGAAGAAGAAAAGTTTAACAGGTGATTTTTATGTTATTTTTATATAATCATACATTTTAAAAGTTAAATTTAATTATTGAGATTAAAGTTAAATTCATTAAATGAATTATTATACAGTAAAATGCTGTCAGAATTTCTTGAATACAATTCAGACTAATGGTAGTTATGATAAATTTATGTTTGGTTCATAATATTGGGTATAAATCAAAATTATTTCACTTGTAGATTAGTGTCTTGTGTTGTTAAATGTTGTAGAAGAATTAATTTGTTTGCATACGTGTTATACATATTTAAAAAATCTATGTGTATAATGCATATAAATGTCCTTTTGTATCAATTTTCCTATAGTACGATGGCTACCAGTAAATGTTGTCCGGTTACATAATAATATGTATCTGGACCTTGAAGCATTTTACTGTATGTTAAATGAAATAAGTATGACCAAGGGAATGAGAACTCTGGAACGATTAGCTCGAAATCTTGAATAAACCTTTTCCAACGAGTGTCGTCTATAGACGACATCCAGTGTGTCGACTTTTGCTTCAGTATTTATCACTCAGAAATAAATTATGGAGAATTGTAATTTGTTATGATTTTCAGTTGTTTAAAAGTGTAATTTTTAGTTTTTAAATACTTTTTATTGATAATGTTCGGAAAATTTTAAAGTATTTTGTATAACAAATACTTGGGCGTCTTGCTGGCTTGTGTCATTTTGCGGAGAACACTATCGTAGCGAAAAGGTTAATGCTCATTTATATGGTGTGTGAAGATTTTGTCGATGTATAATAATGGACTTTAAAACTTTTGTTCAGAATTGGTCAACGATATACAAAGCAATAATTAATTAAATTTAAAATTTGATGATTTCTATACATGAGCAAAGTCTTCATATAAGTCCGAATGAGACATTTAGAGCAAATGGTTCACGAGTGCTCGTTCTATGACAATATCATCTGCTAACCGCTCGATTAAACTAAACCAGGAGACGAAGAGGCGGGTCCAGTGACAGGTAACAGTCACCTGTCCTCTCCGGCTCAGACGAAGACCGCTCTTCAGGAAGTCGAACATGAGAACCACGTCGAGAGCGCTCCAGTGCCATCCGAGGGACACAAGAAAGAAAAGTCTGTATTGCAAGCAAAGTTGACCAAACTCGCCATTCAAATAGGATATGCCGGTTCTACTATTGCAATGCTCACTGTTATTATATTGATGACGCAATTTTGTATTAAGACATTTGTTATTGATGAAAAGCCATGGAAGAACACTTACATTAACGATTTAGTGAGGCATTTTATTATTGGTGTTACTGTTTTGGTCGTTGCTGTGCCTGAAGGCTTGCCGCTAGCTGTTACGTTATCTTTAGCGTACTCTGTTAAGGTAAATTTAATAATTACTACTAATGGGGACAAGCTCAAGTTTACTTGCATAAAAATTTTCATGAAACTTTACGTGGTGATAGAGTTTAAATTGGAAAAGAATCCCTTAAAGCATAAAATTAATCTTTCACCATGCTAAGTTTCATCAAAGGTTCATTATAATGTCACGAATATTTGATGGTCTCTTTCCGACGAATTAATTTGTTATTTACTATAGAAAATGATGAAAGACAACAATTTGGTACGACATTTGGACGCATGTGAAACGATGGGAAATGCTACTGCCATTTGTTCCGATAAAACCGGCACTCTCACAACGAACAGAATGACTGTTGTCCAGTCGTACATTTGTGAAAAGTTATGTAAGAGCGCGCGCTTTGCCGACTTCCCTGCACAAGTTGGTAATTTAATTGTGCAAGGCATATCTGTAAATTCTGCCTATACTTCCCGAATAATGGTAAGAAAATAGTACTATCAAGATTTTGTACGGTAACGTTAACTACATACTTATAGCTGGTGTTTTTTTTAGCCCTCACAAGACCCTGGTGAGCTCCCTATGCAAGTCGGTAACAAAACTGAGTGCGCTTTGCTCGGATTCGTTCAAAGCCTTGGAAAAAGTTATCAAGCCGTCCGAGATGATATCACAGAGGAATCATTCACCCGAGTTTATACATTTAATTCAGTACGCAAATCAATGAGCACAGTTATTCCAAGGCAGGGCGGCGGCTATAGGTTGTTCACGAAGGGAGCCTCCGAGATGGTCTTGAAAAGGTAATTCAGGCTATATTTATTTCAAGATTGATACAGAATATATGTAACCTGGTGATTTATTTCTCAGGTGTGCGTTCATTTACGGACACGATGGTCGGTTGGAGAAATTCACGCGTGATATGCAGGAGAGGCTTCTCCACCAAGTGATTGAGCCGATGGCCTGCGATGGACTTAGGACTATCTCAATTGCATATCGAGATTTTGTGCCTGGCAAAGCCGAAATTAACCAAGTTCATGCAGAAACTGAACCTAACTGGAATGATGAGGATAACATAGTAAATAATTTAACATGTCTTTGCGTGGTTGGTATCGAAGATCCTGTCAGACCAGAGGTAAAATCATAAAACAAATTCATATAAAAACTTAATATTGTTGTATATTTATGTAATGGTGTGTTTTAGGTACCTGATGCTATTCGTAAATGTCAAAAAGCAGGAATAACTGTTCGTATGGTAACTGGTGATAATATAAACACTGCAAGGTCTATTGCTACGAAATGTGGAATATTGAAACCCCAAGAAGATTTTCTGATTTTAGAAGGAAAAGAATTCAATAGGCGCATTAGAGACAGCAACGGTGATGTAAGTATCAGATTCACTTTTTTCCTTTTACCACCTTGAATTTGTTTATACTTTCTTTTACTACTAGGTCCAACAACATCTGCTGGATAAAGTGTGGCCTAAATTACGTGTTTTGGCAAGATCTTCGCCCACTGACAAATACACATTGGTCAAAGGTATTATCGACAGCAATGTCAGTGAAAGCAGAGAAGTCGTGGCAGTCACAGGCGATGGTACAAACGACGGTCCAGCTCTTAAAAAAGCTGATGTTGGATTTGCCATGGTAAGTAAACTTCGAAAAATCATTTATTGTAAACTGCAAGATCATTGTGATAACAATATTATTTTAATTCAGGGTATTGCGGGTACAGATGTAGCAAAAGAAGCATCTGATATTATTTTGACTGATGATAATTTTACCAGTATTGTTAAGGCTGTCATGTGGGGACGTAATGTGTATGACAGTATTGCAAAGTTCTTACAATTTCAGTTGACTGTAAATGTGGTTGCAGTTATTGTAGCATTTATTGGTGCGTGTGCCGTTCAAGATAGTCCACTGAAGGTAAGGAATAAATAAATAATTGGAGATTAGGTTAAGAAAAGGTAAGGTTGAGAGTCATTTAATATGGATTGTTGACACTTGGTTGTTATTTTTCCAGTATATTTCATTATGTTATTTTAGGTCATCTTAAAAAACCACTTCAGTGTAGTATGATGTTTGAAAATCCTATCATCTAGCAGATGGATATTTGATGTATTTCAATGCGAAACAATTTCTATTTCAGGCTGTACAAATGTTGTGGGTTAATTTAATTATGGACACATTAGCCTCATTAGCTTTAGCAACAGAAGTTCCAACAGCTGATCTCTTGCTTAGAAAACCATACGGAAGAACCAAACCTCTCATATCTCGTACCATGATGAAAAATATACTTGGGCAATCTGTATATCAACTAACAGTTATATTCACACTGCTTTTTGTTGGTCAGTATCATCTCATCATCTATTCTATATGTTTGAAACATGAATTAACTGAGTCAAACTATTTTTTTCAGGTGATAAGCTCTTAGACATTGACTCAGGAAGAGGAGCAGACTACGGTTCATTGCCAACTCAACATTTTACAGTAATTTTTAATGCTTTTGTACTAATGACTTTATTTAATGAATTTAATGCTCGTAAGATTCATGGACAGCGTAATGTTTTTGAAGGCATTTTTACAAATCCAATTTTTTACACTATTTGGGTAGGAACCGCTGTTGCACATGTAAGTCAAATAATTGACTAAAACTGATTATTTTGTATAGCTTATGTGATGATATAGAAAAATGATTTTTTTTTTCAAAGGTTGTCATTGTACAATACGGAGATCTGGCATTTTCAACAAAAGGGCTGAATCTCGAGCAATGGCTTTGGTGTCTGTTTTTCGGCTTTGGTACACTATTATGGGGACAAATTGTTACCACAGTGCCTACAAGAAAGATTCCTAAAATTCTTTCGTAAGTGTTACTTGCTTATTTTGATAACACTTACAATGCAAGAATAACATAGTTTTAGTTTCTACATTCATAAGGAATGCAGTATTTTAGTGATGTATATAAGAATATGTGTTATAAGTTAAATAATTTGTATATATGATATCAGTATTATAGATATGCTTTAAGCTTAAAAACGTTTTTATAATTGTCCATTGTCTAAGTGATTATTGTTAATCAGCTGGGGAAGGGGTCATCCTGAGGAATATACTGAAGCTATTAATCTCGGTGAACAGAAGTTTGATGCTGACTTTGATAAGAAACCTCGAGCCGGTCAAATCTTATGGATTCGAGGGCTTACGAGGCTTCAAACACAGGTAAGTCATTTGAAAATTTCTCCTATATTAACTTCTTATCAATAGTACATTTACCATTAACAAGTTAATATAAAGTAATACTCAGTTATTTAAATAATTAATAATTTGTGATATTATATGCATATATTTGCATAATTGTAATTGAAGTTTTTATTTGAAGACTTGTATAAGTATTTTAATGTTGCAAATATCTGCATGTAATGAATTTAGATAAAACTTAGCAAAAACACATTAACATACATTTTTACATATTTTAAGGAATAAACATACATTTGTGTGTATATATATATATACATATATAATGTTTTCAGACATTTATCCAAGAAAAAAAAATAATAAAGAAATATGACTATTAACACTGAAAACATTTGAGATGTTTAACTCATCTCATAAAATAGGAAACACTTTTTATTATTTAAACATAGTTTTGAATCTAATAAACTAGAAAAATAAATCAAAGAAATATAAAAGGACTTGAAAATTGTAAATGTGAGAACATGCTCAATCAACATTTACAATAAAAAAAGAAAAGTTTGAAATCAATTCGTAGTTGTAATTCAAACTTTTTTATATATATATATTTTATTTAAATTACTGATGAATCATGTTCTTCTTACATTTTAAATTTACAGGTTTTTTTATATTGCTTTACTTAATTTTTTTAGTTATTTAGTTTTATAACTATGTTTAATGTAAAAAAAGCGTTTCTTAATTTGTGTTTTGTTTTGAATTATTTGTATGCATTGAAGATCAGTCAAACACAAACTCCAAAAGTTATCAGTTTTACTAAGGTCATTTTTCTTTATTAGAGTTTTTTTATTATTAGATAAATACCTCTGAAAAGCCACACACACACACACATATATATATATATATATATATATATATATATATACATAATATTTATAATCACACTCGCACACAATGTGTAAATGATATAAATCATGTTGAACTCTGTGAGCAGTCACTAAAATTGCAGTGTTAGTTAGTAATCATTTAAAAGTTTTACGATACAGAGTATTTTAAAAATTTTTTGGAACATTTTCATTTGTTAGGTATATTGTATAAAGCTCTGTGTTTACATTTTGGCAATATGAACACATTGAAATCATCACAGTGGTAGCTGTTGGGAGTAATCTGTTATTTTGGCTTGATATTTTTTATTTGATTTAATTGTGTTTTGTTCAATGTTTGTCATAAAAAGGGTTTAATCTATTTTATATGTTTCTATGATTATAAACTTTCTGTGTATCACTTATTGTATTGTTGTCTTTTAGTAATTCATAACAATTATTGTAATTAAAATTAATATTAAACGCAGTAATAATTTGAAGTTCAGAATATCAGCATATCTAAAGCATGAATTTTGAATTGTGTTGATTTTGAAGTAACTTAAAAATATCGTTCGAGTTATAATGATGATATGGTTTGTATTAAAAAACGAAAAGATAAATTTCTGATTAGAGTCTACATTCTACATTTAAGGTCGGTGACGTTTTATTGAATAACTTTTAGCATTTTTGCAGTACTAATCTTCAATCTCTAAAATGTAAACTGGCTTTTACATAAGTTGGGGTTTCTAGAATATGCTTTCTATCTAGAAACATCTATTAGGTTAAATGTTTTTGTAGCATGCTGGTTAAACTTCCTATCAACTGTATGACAATGGTGTTTCCATATATATGAATTAGTTTAAAACTCGTTTGAACTTTCCAGATATTGTAATACCTCTCTTCCTCTTGTATTTATTATGATACTTTCACAGCATTAAATACACTACACCAGATTAGTAAATACTATTCCTAATGTTGTCTCACTAAACAAACATATCTCCACTATAGTGAAGTGCCGGTTGACTACATAGTTGCGGTATGTGCATTGTGCATGGTGTAGTCGTTCAAGTATTATACAATATAGGTTTTCCAATGGATTATTTTATTCTAATCGACCTTTTTTAGTTGGCTGTGTTGTCCTGAGGATGTGAACACTTGTCTACGTAGCTATTATTATCTCATTTCACTTGTAATAACCACAAATAAATCTTGTTGAATCACTCCATGTAATGCTTGATTTCCCGCACATCTGGCGAGCAATGTGGATTTTGATATACGGACATTCTAATGTTTATTTATATACAACGTTCAATTTATCGAATCGCAGGTATCGATTTTTGTTCATGCACAAGTTTAGAGTCTACGAATAATCTATCTTAAATCTTTTAAAAAAATCATTGAGTATTATTAAGGTGACCATAAGCATCAATATTTGTCTCTGATTTGGATTTTTTGGCCCAGGTTGTCTCTTATTTTTGAAAATTTTCTCTAAAATGTTAATTTTGAATAAAACTATACATAATTTTATCCAATGAAAAACGAAAAAAATTATAGTTCAGGCAAATATAAAAGATTTGTGCTTATTGTCCGTAATTCTGGTTTTAGAAAAATGATTCATTCAAAAGAAAACTTAGAAATGCAGTTTAGAAATAGAAAGCGATATATAATATAATACATTAATTTTGATAGATTACAGTTTTATAAATATCAATTAACTTCACAATTAACTTAAACAATTTTTATTTTGTAGCTTTTGTTAGGGCGTTTTTTTCGCACGAATGACACTGCTGTACGAGTAAGTAAGCCGCCCAAGTATTTATTGCACAAAATAATTTATGATTAACCAATCATAATCAATAGTCAAATAGACTAAAAACTACAATAACACATTGAAATTTTCAATAATTTAACTCAGAGTGACAAATATTAAAGCAAATGTGGACACACTGGATAGGTGACACTCATACACACAGGTTGTTATGCGGCTAACTAAATCCTTTATACGAGTTTTTGTCCACGATTTGAAATAATAAAATATGGTCACCTTAGTATTACGAATTTGCATGTTCTCACTCTTCATTAAAAGCATCATGCAGGGCGATCATTTGTATCTTTCCAATTTATTTTCAATAATTAATACCTGCTTCATCCGATTTTGATTTAATTTTTCATTTATAAGTAATAAATAAAAATGGGTTAATTGATGAATAATTTTGTAGAATCAGTTTAGACATTGATGTCCGTATATCAGACAGGTACTTACATAACGATTGATTTCACATCAGCATCTATCTCGTTGTATATTCAGAGCACATTGTGAACTTTATGATTTTGTCTTTAGTTAAATAAAAATTAGTAGGAGTTCTAGTGGGCCGTATTAATTTACTTATGATTTATTTATTAGCCGGCGGAACCAATGAGAGAAACAGAAGTGTAGGGCAGTCACGGGCGTCAACTATTCCTGTCGCAGTACAAACACGTACGTAGGTGTAGAAGAATCTGCTATTCAATAAATGCGTGCATCATGATTGGTTATATTTATATATTATATATATTCGTATGTCTTGTGATTGTTTATTTGTTTAGAGAATACCCTATTTGCCGATTGGTGCATTCCTAATTATTAGAGTTAGAGGATTGCCTGTGGATTATCGGCACGCACATTTAGTATTACCTCTAGTAACTTCATAAGCGGGTGTTATACTTCAGTATTTCTATATTATTTGTTTTTTACTCATACTCTCCTGTTTTACTGTACAAAGGTTCCATTCTGTTAGTGGTTATATGTGTTCTGCTCCTCGTAAATGGATCAAATTAATTTCAGTCGTAACAGGTCATTCTACAGCCTCATGGACAACACAGCCAACTCGATTATTGGATCTATTTATTATTTTTACTATATCTTATACTATCTCATTAAATGCCTTGTCCTTAATTTTGTCTAGGTGCTTTAAGTAACATAATGCTATACTGCATACAGAGACTGACGGCCTGACTAGCAATTCTGTACTGTTGTCGGGAACGAACCGAAATATGTTTTTTTTTTTTAACAGCGAGACGATATTTATCCAGCGCAGTATATATTGTCGCTGATCTACAATGCGTGGCGAAACAATATTGTTTTCTGTACAGATCGCCAATACTTTTTTTTTAACAAGACAGTTATACAATTGATTGCCCCATGCACTCTTCCTTATGCTTGCTCACTGTCATCACTTGCATTTCTGACCATCCTCTCTATCTCCATCCTAGTATGTTTGCGACTGGTGTCTTGGTTTTATTTATATTGTTTTTTTTTATTTGTTCTAACCAAGAATATATAGCCTTGGTGGCCTGTGTTAGTTCTATCTCACTGATTCTTTTAAATCAGTAACTACTAAATCATCTCTCTTTCTAATGCATTGAATTATATATATATATATATAATCATTAAAAAACTGTCAGCTATCGTTTGCATTAACCGTTCTATTTATACTAACTATTTACTTTATGACTAATCTTCAATTAATGTTACCGACTTTATATTAATATAATTTTAGTCGATGTGCCAAAATAATATGATTGACTGTGTGATCTCGATAAAGCAATAATTTCTAAATTTGATTTTAATAAGAAAATTTGGATGACACTCAATATATTTGATAAGTAAACTGTTATTGATATATCCAAATTTTCAACCGCTGCCAAGATAGTTACTAAAACCGAAATTAATATGCAATACAATTCAATGCGTGCTCGTTGCGTTTTTGTGTTAACACTAGATTTTGAGAAGGAAAAAAAATAGAGCACTGACACAGGACGTTTGTTTTATCAGGTGTTTGATTTTTATTTATTTATTTACATTTGAAATTTGATTTGTTAACAAATGCTTTTAACGCAATTAAGTGCGCGGCTATGAGTCGTTTGTTTTGTTTTATTTATTTAATGATTTAATTTTTATTATTTGTGTTGTGTGCGTATGTGTGTGTGCATGTATCCCGTTGCCTCACGGGCGTGCCCGCATCTCCTATGTTTTGCAGCTACGCGTTGTCAGGGCATTCAAATCGACGTTGGAGGACTTGGAAGAGCGCCGTTCAGTTCACAGTATGCATAGTTTGAGAAGCTCTCGTAGTCAAGGGGGTGGTGGTATGTGGTTGCCCCGACAGACTGCCGACATCGCGTACATTGACGAGGATCCGAATCCGAATCCAAATTGGAGGCATTCGCCGCAGTCGCCCAACACTCTGGCCGTCCCCAAGAACGAGGAGGAAGCGAGGCGCCTGCAACAATTGTCCAAACCATCCTCTCCGTCGTCCCCTCCGAAACCCGTGCACGAGACCCGGATCTAGTGTCGGCCAGTCGGTGACTTAACATGATTACGATTATGATTATGATTATGATTAGTAATCAATAAATCGGTCACACCGAGATGGCCGGCAGCCGACAATAATCCGCTAACTTATATCTCAGTACTTAACTATCGACCTTCTCTCCTCTCGCTACTCACCTCGAAACCTCAATTATAATATAAATAGAAAAATAGCATGATTAAGTTACCGTACGCATCTACACATACCCATACTATTTACAAACGATAAATAATTAATATATATATATATATATATTTTTCTTTTTTCACTATTTATTTATAATAAGATTATTAACGCGCATAAAGTGTGTATGTGTATATGTAAACAATTTTTGAAGTTTGTTCAAATCTAATATAATATATTTTCTTTAACAATGAATGTATGATAAACCAAATACAAATCATTTCTATATGCATAAGTACTAACGTTAGTACAATTGCGTATACAAGATCTTATAATCTGGTCCGGGTGCCAAAAGCATTCGTATAATAAAAAATAATAATAATAATATGTTAACGTTGTATTTGGCAAATTTTGACTCAGAGTAGTAAACTTTTTATTCAATTTAAACAAGGAAATTATTTAGTTCTAAGTTGAAACTATTATATGTATGAGGTTAATCTTATGTTGAATTATTAATTTATATGTAAAATAATAATTTTTATATTTATGTATGCATTTGTATAATAAATTGTTGATTTTTATTTTTCTCATATTTTTATCAGTTTGGATTGTATTAGTAATAACAGGACTAATATTGTGTAGTAAAAGTATATTTTTTATTTATAATTTTGCTATATTAATTTTGTAATGTATTTAATTAATATTGATTAAACGTTAATAAAGAAATTTATTTTTAATTAATATTTTATACAGTTAATAACACATTGATTTTAGTTGAAACTATTTTTTTTTAATATTTTGTTTTATGTATGTGTAAGCATATTAATCAAATGTTTTTGTTTTTGGATTGTGCCATGCGTGTTGCACGTGTGTAGGGTGTATCAGACCTCTATAAATATTTCATAAGTTGTTAAAATTGTATATAAAAATCATTTTGGCGGTTTACTACTCTGATTAGTATGCTTGAGTGTACATACTGTGTATTGTTGTAAAAACATGAGTAATCTGCGTGCATGGTTTTAAATTAAACAAAATTTAATATCAATGTACGTACGGATTGATTTGATTGATTTCGTACGTGCACGAATTATTTCTAAGGTGCACAGATGTACGAATTTGAATTTGAATTTGAATGCATGCACCTGCGATTTTGTTAATTGAGTGTTTTTGTGTGTATAACACTTTAAAATAGAGTTGCTGATATTGCTCTGATGAGCAATGATCGCTGATATTTTCCACTTACATTGTAATCTATTTTTGTAAATTATGATCGATTAATGCAGAATAATAAAATATGCATGTATATGTGTAAATACTATTTGAATTTTAAGATATATAAAATTTCGACATTTTACTACCACTGCCAAATCATTGTAGCAACCGTAATACATCACTTTTTCGACTGCTCATTTTTACACAAAATACTTTCTAAGAAAACTGTGAATTATCATATACACACATGATTTCTATATCTACTACATTTATTCAGTGCTTGCAAAGATATGCGCGTTAACAAATGTTCTAAACTGATTTGTAGGTGATCCCAGATGATTCTACAAAGGTTACACTATCTATCGTCAGTCTTATTATTTTCATCTTGTTTTCAGAAAGGTGGAAATATGTTTTCGGAGAGCGTTGCCCATAAAATTTTCGAATTTGCCAGCACTTTTCTTAAATGCCCACATTTCTTTGTACAATTCTAATTTGACACTGTTTTGAATTCCAGCACTGTAGTAATGTGTGCATGTCCTACTGAGTGTTTATACAATTGCATCAAATCAATCTATCATTCTTTTCGTGTTTGTTCACAAACATATCGTACTGTGAGGGAAGTATATTGCATTTTTCTATATTTATAATCTCTTTAAGGGCATGCACACAACAATAATATTTCTCTACTTACAGACGTGCGTTTAGACTTTGCATAACAGTAACACTCGATAAATTCATTATAGTTAAATTATCGCAGAGTTATTTATATTTATAAATATAATGATTTGTAAGATGTCTGTTACGCAAAGTCGCATCTTTACTATGCCTAAATATTTGTAGTTACTATGCACTAGTATACGTTATACTGTATCCCCATGAACCACCAGCTCGAGACGGCCAATGTAGGAATACAATTAAATACAGTTGAATCCATGTAAAGTTTTTTATTTTTTTTATTCTGTAATGACACGTTTAAATTGGATTGTTTTTTGTAAATTGAACTCGTATAAAAGATATTCCCAGTAAACCACAAAATGTAGTAAAACTGTTGTAACGTTGCGCGTAGCTATTACGTAACCGAGAAGACATTTATACGAAATTAATACGATAATACATAATGCTAATGCCTTTGTTACTTAACAACATGAATTGTTATATTTTTATATATACTTTTACTACGTCATATATAACATTTCAGCTTTTTTACTTTTTTTGTATAAGAATGTGTATTATGCCATTTAAATTTAATTTGCATTCAAAAAGATACAAAGTGTGATACGACATATATTGAGTGTATCGTGTCACATTTGTCGCCATTTTGTATGGTAAATCTATGAAACTTAGTAACGTAGCTGCGACGTAGCGAACCAAAACCAAATATCTACGTTGTTGGCGATTAAAATTAACTACGTTGTATTTGAGTAACTATTGTGGTTTACTGGTTGATATTCTTATTGTATTTAGCCGATTGGTACATACCTTAAATGCACTGGAATAAAAATTTCTTGTAGAACATAAGTGCAATTTAATATTTGGTAAAAACATGAGTATTTTAGTAATGATATATTTTAAATAAATAATTATTAGTGATGTCCCAGTTCGAATCAAATGATTAAGGTTTTAACAACTGTATTAGTTTGCGAATAATCGAGATTTTTTGGTTCGAATAGATTCAACTATTCGGCACATCACTAATCATTATTACCGACTATCAAAATTTTTGGTCAAGATTTTAATAATTTTTTTTATAAAATTGCGTTACGTTCTATATGAAACTTAGGCTGTATGACTTTGTAAATATTAACTCCGAGCATAAATGTAATAAAAGTATTTGCATTGAATATGCTTAGATAAATGGAGTTTCCTTTACCAATTGAGAATACTTACTTACTGCTGTCCCCCTTAGAAATGATTTTTATTTTTTAAAAGTAATTTGGTAGTTCTCGGGCTGCGACCTGTACAGTCAGATTGCTCATAATTTGGTATCGTTTACTCTTGAAGGTGATAGGTGGTGAGTTGCAAGAGCGTTTGATTCCGGTCCCGTACAGCAAGAGCTCCACTGACCAAGCTGTAAGCCGCTTTTCTTCTAAAAAACTTTTCTGTGCACGGCCTGTAGTGTTTCTATCTATTTTTTGTTTTTATTACCGTGCCCTTTGATTTCTACGTAGAGTGAATGTGTAAATTAGAATAATTCTATTTGATCGACCAAGTAAAATTTACATGAGTCGATCAAATGAGTGTATAATATTGCACGTGCTTTGTAGACCTGCCGTATCATATTCTGCCATCGTTACTGCTAATTACCCATGATGGATATAATAATTTTATTTATTTTTTATTTTTTTATGATGTATGATATTTGTACCTTGTAACATATCCATGAGATGAGGTTTTTTACTGAATTGTATAATATTTGCAAATACTTGCAAATATTGTTGATTAAAATATTTATTACCATTGTGCAGTATTTGCAAACATCTGCAAATGATGTTAAATAAATTGTTTGTGTTAATATTTATTTTTAACATTTTATTATTATAATATAACTATTATTTATTCATAAATTTTGTTTTGTTGTTTTTTGTTATAACAGCATATTAGTAATTGTTTTAGAGTTCAGTGTTACAGTTTATTAATTTATTAACCTGTAATTTTATTTTATATGTAAAGAAATCTCAGGGCAGTTACATCATGTATAAATCAAAGAATCTTCATTGCCAGACATTTTGACATATAAATTTGTCATTATCAGCGTCAAATTGCTGAAAATTGATATAATAAGGCTAATATAGAGTAAATATAAATTTTTGCTTATATTTACTATATATTGACTTGAAAATGGGCTTACCGTGGTACATATAGCGCACAGCCTATTTTTTAAATTTCAAATATTTTTTATAATGAAACCACTTTTCATAGGCCTATAATATTTTAACGGGTTTGTTTTCACTATCGACTCTATCACTATGCAAAGTTTCATCAAAATCGTAGACGAGTATAATATAAAATAATCAATCAGGTTCTCCTTGTTAGTATCTTTGTTTTATTCAAATTATAGTTCCACTGGAGATGACTTAAAATTATATGTCGTAACGCCGCAATAAAGTTTTTTTTTAAATTTTATTTGATGTAACTATCTTGATGTTTTTTTACATAGATTTATATATATATATATATATATATATATATATATATATATAATTCGCAAAATAGTAAATGATGCATTTATACGTTTTAATCCGTTATGATTGTTTTGTATAACATTTTATCCGTAAATATGTTTTATAAAAATTGTAAAAAATGTACTTTTCGAGTGCACTATTTTCTTTGCCGGTTGTAAGAAGATTCTAGTCGAAGATATTTTCAATTATTTTTTTTTCAAGATGCAATTTAGATTAGTTTCACGCGTAGACTATCTGGAGAGTAAGCACGTATCCGCTATTGTTAAAATTCCACAGAAATGCATATGTAGTACTTTGTAATTATAGAATATGATTCACAGCGAAATTCTCGAACAAATTCGGTCATCAACTGTAACAGGTAATGAGTAAATTGTAGTGATAGGTTGACTGATTTTGACTATAAGAAGTCAGAAGTCCGAAGTGCACTCTGAGAATTCATTCGGACGGAGTCAGATACCGATGATTGTCGTAACAGAGAAGAATTTTCGTTATGACTGCGATGGTCACTTAAATTGGAATGAGGTAAAGTGCATCTTGAAACACAGTAGCTTACACCAGTCTTACAATTCGCATATTTGATAAATTATCGGTAAAAAGTAGAAAAACAGTGATTTATTTATTTTAAAAAGCATATTTGCGAAGCATGATTGTTGCCATGTATTAAATGAATTAGAATTGAACCAACACCTGTTTCAAGATAATGGTTGACAATATTGTTGTTTTACCTGTGAAATTTTGATTGAAACGTTTTTTGTACGGTTGTCCATTGCAGATTCGGGTAGTGAATGCTTTCCGGCAAGGACTCGATTCCCGATATGGAGAGCACAGCAATACCTCCCTAGCCGAGGCTCTGCGAAAACAGTCATCACTTAGTAAGCGACTCTCGCAAACTTCTTCCATTGAATACGCCGATAATATTCCGGACGAATTGACTATCCCTGAAATAGACGTGGAACGGTTATCATCACACAGTCATACGGAAACGGCAGTTTAGTTTCCTTTGTCCTATTTCAAATATATACATACATACGGAGGTAAAGAGATGCAGATGTTTATATTATATGAGTATATACGTATCTGCATATCTTGCAGCATTCTTATGTATGTAGAATCCCTTCAAAAACCAAATAACGCCGCGCGGCTGCTTGTCAAGACATCACATTCACTGTTTGTTCGTTGTTATTTAGTGGTTTAAATTAAATCGTTTATTATACAAAAAAAAGAAGTTTTGCCTATTTACATAATTTTATAAAAGCAAAACGTGGAACAATGATGAACTGAACACAAGTAGCAATAATCAAGAGGGTCTATACTATATAAACCCATAGTGTTTAACTAGGTGCCTACGGGGCGCACGGGCGCACACTCGCAGCTATTCAGTGGAGAATATGTTATACTATATATATTATATTATATTATAATGATATGAATTGGTCTCATATCGGGCGTTCGGTCGCATGTTGACCTGACCCATGCAAATGCTTGTCGTCGGTCGTCGTACATACGACCGAACTGGAACACACACACACCACGACCAGTATGGGACCAGTCTACTGAATTGGACGCAACTTAGGAGGCCTGACGTTCTCTCACGGCAGAGAACGTCTGGTCACGCTTCGTTACTATCGGCGAGTTACAGTTGATCTAGAGTAACGATATATAGAATACTGTTGTCTGCCAAATGTTGTTGAGGGGAGGCAATAAGATGTATATGTTGATACTTAATGTTACATAGTTATAATCTAGAGTTTGTTTGGGTAATTCAAGTTACTGCTTCCCCTCGCCCTCATTTTAAAAATCTATTTAAGATAGTTAACTATTGTAGTGACATATTACTTTAGTTGCCATCGGCCCAAGAGCCGTTGAGGTTCTTCTGCCTTTACAATTTAGTTTTGTTTTATACTTTATCTATGTGTACTTGACATAAAATGAAAAATATTATATAAATTGATAACTTGAACATAGTATAGATACGATTTCGCTGTAAGACGACATCATGCGCCTCAGTTCGAAATGATGAATGAAATTGATTGATGATTATTTCGAATTAGCGCATTATGTGTTTCGTGGTGATTGAATAATTGTACTTAACTTTAGTATTAATTTATTTTCTAAGTAGAGATTTAGCTTTCATCATTTATGAACGCATACAGATGTGTACACTCAAAATTCGATCACCACGACAATTGGCAATTTCTCTTTCGGAGAATAGCACCTGTAATCACACGATACACCTGACATACGCAGTTGACGAAGTATTTGAACCTATGTATATGTATATATACAATTAATAGAATACATAGAAAGTACATTATTAAAGACATAGATGCGTATTCTAAATCAACCAAATTCAATGTATGTACTTCCAAGTACTTGTTACAGAATTGTATGCGTGAATTGATCTGACTGTTTTCTGTATTTGACTAGGTATCTGGGCATATATGAACCTTTTAAAATAAAAAAATTAAAAAATTTACTGCAGTACAATGAGTGACAGGTAGTGGTGGGGAAATAAATTATATAGTCATCACTTAAATAATAGTTCAAGTAAATACAGTAGTTGGCAATGGAATGGAATTAGGAAAAATAAAGTAGATGTAAACATTCGTTATACAATACATGTTTTTTTATGAATAATATAGATGGAAATTATTTGATATATAAAATAGCGACTATGTTTCCACTAAGGTAATTCCATTGTTTTTTTGCCATGTTCTATGTTGAGAATGTTATCTCTTTGACATGAATTGAATCAATATATAACATTTACGCTTAGCAAAATTTTATTGTATATAGCGCTATATAAGAACCAAAATCATTACCTTTAGCGAACTAATTTATCGAATAAATTTATCTAACCCGTTCCTTTAAATCAACTCATTGTAGTTGCAATAACTATTAGGAAATACAATTCTCAGCGAGTATTAGTGATACGTTGATTTTGTTGTATTCTATCATCCGTTTTTCCTGGTACATATATACTGAAATACCTATTTATAAATAATAAATAAATATTACGTTGATTTGATGTTGATGCATTGAGCCGTACTCAGAAATAAATGATTTTCATGTAATATGTAAAAGCAAATTGCAAGCACACACATAATTAATGATCAAAACTGATAAAAACCGAATAAACAAATAAACATGGAATACGCATACGATCATACGCGACATTTATACATATCTAGATACAAGTATACCTGGTGACATATTGCTCTATATATGTACTAGATCCTATATAGATTCATAACTCAATAAACAAAACATCTACTAGTACTTGCAGACAAAACACACGATTAACGTATACATATACATTATAGATTAAGTATTTATTTTTTTATTTATGTGTACTAATGAGTACTGTGTGCAATATTTGTAATGTTGCATAGAAGCCCCGTCGGCCGTGGCCGAGCCTCCCGAAGCCGCGGCCCCCCGGGCAACCTTTCCAAGCGATGGGCTCTGCTAGAAGATGCGCCCTTTGGGGGGCAGCGGCCAATTCTGGACGGCCGACCGAACGGCCGAGGGGCGTCGGTGCCCAGAAGCAATATAATGTTACATTAGTTTATGAAATGTGGGTGTTTATTAGCGCCGCGCAATGTCTTCTATCAGTTTTTATGGTGAAAGTTTGAAAAAAAAGGCAACGCCTTGTCCGACAGTTCTGTTTATGAAAACGTTGAGCTTTAAATTATACTGAAGGGATAAAACACCAGAAATTTTGTACACTAATGGAAATTCATTGTTTTCTGTATGTACCCATATATATACATGTATATATATATATATATATATATATATATATATATATTATGTACAATATATGACACCGAAAAGCACTTTTAGTGTTGATAAATCATTTTCATCGAAATGCATCTTTTTGTTGAATAATTTTGTGAATCGCCAAATTTAGCTAACAATAAGACATTAATTTGTAATGTGAGTATATGGCCCGAAAACAACATTGTTAATTAGCCTTGTTCTAAACTTTAAATACTTGTTATTTATAAATATTATCATCCCGACATTGTCTTTATTTCATGTTAAATTGCATTTTAAGAGTGTTAATACCTAATTTCAGTAAAACTATTTAAATAAACTATAAAATTCGTTAACGTTTATTTCGTTTATTTTCATTTGAAAACATATATAAACCCACTTCTAGTATTTTTTTCAGGTTTAATATGTTGCTGATGAAATATGTACAAATATAATATTTTATATTGCTAATCACAAATGATGTATATCACTTGAATTTTGGAACAAGTTCGGAAGTCTTTACAATTACCATTACTGTTATGTACTTTCTTATGATAATATGCACAGGAACAGGACATACTAAATAAGTAAGTATACATATAAATATCAAGAGCCTACTTGAAAAAATGCAAATGGATATTTAAATATCCATAGAATTTTATTTTATTATTTAGTAAGTAATTTTTATTTTATATACAATAAGGCTATGCTAATAATAAGAAAATTACTTTTTATTAAAATTCTGTTTTACAATAAAAATGTTGGCTCGTTTTTATTATTTGATAATTCTTGATATTAATTTTTGATATTCTTCTTTAATCTATGATTTCTTTTATGTTTATTGAAAATCTTTTATTTAAAAAAATATGTGGTTTTTATGAAAGCGAAACCAGTTTTCTATGAAAATCCAGATTTTTTTTTATAAAAAAATGAGCAGTTTTTTTAAAAAATGTCTTTTTTGAAAACTCTGACTCTTATTATGAAAAATTAGGTTCACTATGAAAATTCAGGTTCTTCCCGGAAGAGAAGTTTAAGTTTCTATTTCAAAATTTGATATCCATGCTATGTTTCACGATGTTTCAAATTATTCTGAATCATTTGACCCAAAATTTAGAAAAAATGTATTTGGGTGAGTCAAATCTTGAGCTTTTTCGGCTGCACCAATTTCAAAAATTTGAAATCAGTTCGTTGAAACTCGACCAAGACTTTCATTGATTAGTTTTACGAGACGATCGGCCAAGCCGTTTTTTAGAATCAGCAGAAAAGTTCAAAATTTTTTGTTGAAAAAAATCCCCAACTGACTCTGAAAGTTAAAAAAAACTTTCGAAAGATATTAGTTAGGAATCGTGCCGATTAGTTTTTGTTTAAGATAGGCCGAGCTGTTTCCACGTAATTAATTGTTGAAAATTTTTATTTTGACCTTTTTGATATAACTTTGTATGTCGACAGATGTAAGCTAACATACTACACAAAATATAGTCCTTTGATAAGTGATTTAATTATAAAAAGTCATAAAAAATTTGAGTAATTCTGTTTTGTACTACTGATTCCAGAACACTATCATCGAAAATAACCCAATATTTTTTGAACGATATTAAAACATAAACTAGTGGGGCGCATGGCATCGTGTCTTAAGGCAAACTGCTGGAACTTCCCGTACCAAAATATGCTTTAACTGCAATAAACGAAATATGGAAGCGCGTAAGCGCCGCGTCGCCGTCTAACGGATAAACATTGGTACAGAATCCATAGGAATGGGAACAAGATTTATACTTATTGTTAAAATATTCATAAAATATCTGATAATTTGATGTGCATATGTCTAGTAATCATTTTTGACAGCCAAATGGCGTTTTTAATTACTTTTTTTACTAGATCTCCGAAACCGCTAGACCTGCCTTCATGAAAATTTGATCAGTTCTTCATCTTGTTAATACAAGTAAAGTGTTTTTTGAATTATTCTATTCGCTCCGTTCTCTTAAAAACTGAGTTACCGTTTTTGGCACTTTTTGCCCCATATCTTCAGAACGGCTAGACCTGCCTTCGCCAAAAACTAATCAGCACGTCTCCTTATCAATACGAATCGAATGTTTTTTTTAAATTATTTAAATCGCTTCATCCGTGTTCCCGACATCGTCGACGAAAATTTGTATCCGCACACACACACACACATACATCCATTTTATCTAAGGTATGCCAAAATGTTCAGAAGGTTTTGAAACGTAAAGATATTTAAAAATTTTCATTTTCGATTTTTTTGCGATTACTATAACTTGCTCCACGGGAAGTTAACAAAAAATATAGTTTTTATGCATATATTTATATGATATTGCATATTAATTTGTAGTCTAATAATACCAGTTGAGTATTTACAAAATTAAATTAAATTGGAAAAATTGAGGAGGGCGCGACAATTTTTTTTATTAGAGCACGGGGGCGCGGTGCAAAAAAGGTTGGAAACCTCTGGGTTATGGTTTACGGGCATACTTAAATAAAATACATTTTTAAAATATGAACTAGCATAAAGTGTGTTAAATAATTTAATCGCATTGATTAGTTTGTAGTGAAAACGAAAACTTATTTTCAAAATAAACAGTTGGAAATTTTATCTATTCAAATTAGCTACTTATTAATATGAAATCTTATTTATTAATTCCATTGCCCATACGCATCTGGAATGTCATGCAACTTGCCTCAAGGCAAAATGCCACTTACAACTAATTTATGACCGATTTGGTTATATTGTCTAGGGTTTGAAATGGGTCTGACATCTGTCATCAACTGAAGAAAATTATGAGATAATCGGCCGAGTAAGTAGTGACATCTGTCTAAAGAATAAATATTGAAGTTATGTAATATTTTGCAAATTGCGAATTATTGCCGATAAATGACACGAAATGTTTATGATATCCTTTTTGTTTCTTCATGCGTGGAATTAAAAACAATCGACACGAATTTCAATAGGTGTCATGTCGTTTTATAAAATTTCCAACCAGCCTTCTAAGCTCATGACGAAACCTAATTAAAATTTCATTACTATTTTGTTCAGTATTGAATTAGTTTGAAACAGAACATTTTGTTCTGTTTTACATAGTATTTTATTATTAATCAAGTTGTAACAGAAAAATTCAAGATTAAAACAATTCATTACCAACCCATGAAAAAAATCGACTGAATAATCAATAATAGAGACTTTTTACAAATGTCGGTGCGGTTTTAACATGTGGTAGGACGTCTTTCGCAACGAGAACGAAAAGTTCGAAAGATAAAATAAGGAAAACTGTTTTTTGTTATATTTGGGAAGACGGAATAAAATTCTAGAAGGAAAATGGGTAATGTGCTTGCGACATCTGAAAAATCGGCAGGAATTCCACCTTTAACGGCGCCCCCGCCAGCCCCGTATCCAACACAGCCTTCTCTCTATTCAAAAGATGATAGTTTATCCAAGACGACAGAAAAATCCTTGGAAAATCCTGGGACGATGGACGAGCTTCACAAAAAGTGCAAAGGTATGAAGGAAAATGAGATAAATGAAAATCATTGACATAACCTCAAAATGTTATCAATTAGAGACTTACAGAAGAGATTTTACAGGGCTCCACTGTATAATACTTGTATAAAGCAACGAATAAAGAATTTGTACAATATGCTGTATTAACATTTACAATATATTTTAATTAAGATGACCACCTATATTCATTTACTGAGTTTTGCTAGTACTCTTTCAGAGACTCTTTTCTAATTTTGCACTTTAATAAAAGTACTCATTTGTAATTCTAAAATATTTATGCTCATTTACTGAGTTTGGTACTCTTTTCAAATTCTGTACTGTACTCATTTGTATAGTTTTATATTCATTTGTATTTCTAAAACATTGTCGTTGATTATTAGGCTAGTGTTTAATACAAAAAATTATAGTGCATAAAGTTAAGATGACCAAATATAAGCTAAGTCTAATACAAAAAATTAGGAAAGTTTCAATACAAAAAATGATAGTGCATAAAGTTAAGGTGATCGTCTATGCTCAATTACTGAGTTTGGTACTCTTTTCAAATCCTGTACTCTAAAAGTACTCTTTTGTATAATTTTATACTAATTTGTATTTCTAAAACATCTTTGTAGATAATAGACTGGTGTTTAAAACAAAAAATGATAGTGCGTAAAGTTAACATGACGCTCTATGCTCATTTACTAAGTTTGGTACTCTTTTCAATTTCTGTAATCTGAAAGTACTCTTTTTATACTAATTTGATTTCTAAAACACCTTTGTAGATTATTCGACTGGTGTTTATACAAAAAATTGTGGTGTTTGAAATTAGAGTGACTGTCTATGGTCATTTACTGAGTTTGGTACTCTTTTCAAATCCTGTACACTTTTGGTCTCCTTTTAAATTATTGTTTCCCTGTTGTGATACTATACGACCATGCTCTGATGTTTCAAATGGAAGAATTTGTTTTATATACTTATCCCTCTACACCTTCCATTATCTTTTACCTTGATTGCTGACTTTTTTATCCTTTCAGATGTTATGCCAGTCAATTTTGAAGGAGCAAAGTTAATGTATAATAAAGGCTTAAGTAACCATTTTCAAGTGTCGCACACAGTGAATATGAGCTCAAACACTAGTGGATACAGATTTGGTGCCACTTATGTTGGAACTAAACAACTCTCACCAACCGAAGCATTTCCAGTCCTGCTGGGTGATATAGATCCAGAAGGAAATCTCAATGCAAATGTTATACACCAAGTTACACCACGAGTACGCTGCAAATTTGCATCACAGGTAAAGGATAATTATAGTAAATGTAAATCTAGTCTTGATAATATCCTGATAAATGAAATTTTATTTCAGATACAAAGTAGCAAAATAATAGCTGCTCAGTTAACATCAGATTATCGAGGTGATGATTTTACATTTTCTTTAACATTCGGGAATACAAATTTAATAAATTCATCAGGCGTTATTGTTACGCATTATTTACAATCGGTCACAAACAATTTAGCAATGGGTGCTGAATTAGCTTATCAGTATGGTCAACAAGTTCCAGGGGGTCAAATAGCAGTTGTATCCGCTGCAGGAAGGTGAGTGAAATGATACTCAAAAGCACAGAGTTTGAAATAATAATATATAATCGAGTTATTGATTAAACTTGTGAGAACTTAACCAAAATTAAAATTTACATTGTTTTTTTTTTGAAAAATAACAATTGTGACTCTGCCACTTACATGTTGTTAATTTGTTATATTCAATATGATTTATTAGCATCGCTTAAATTTTAAAAATTAAAACGTAAATAGTGCTCCATAATGCAATATGGAGTGAGCAAAAACGAGAATATACAATGAATTGTTGTAAATGGAATTTTGCCTTATAACAAGTTGCATCAACTCCGTTCCTGAATTTTCAGTTGCATTTTTTTTTATTTATATGATCTACCAGTCTGCCTGTCCACTCATCCACCTTTCTACATTTATTTTCTGCCTGTTCACCTGTCTACCTATTTACCTGCTTATCCAATATATTTCATTTGTATGTGAATCAATAATAATTATTCGTAATGGTCATATTTGACCAACAATTGTCAATTTTTGCATTTTATTCTGGACCTGCCTTTACATTAGTAAAATATTTTTTGAATCATTCAAATCTGATTCTCAAATGTAGGCTCTCTTTTAGTACAGTTGCAATTTGTTATTGTAAGATATCCGTCGAACACTTGATATATTCATCTACTGTTGGAATATTCATATCATTGAGGTTATTTTGAAACAATGTGTATAGAATTTAGATGTCTTTCTAAAATCTTTGAATGTTTATTGCTGGACAGCAGCTTTCTTCTAATATTTTCATAGCTCCTTGTCTACAAATCCAGATCTTTCCAATTTATATGTAATTTCTATATGAGACAATAATTTGTTCTGATAGGAGATACTAGAGCAAATAAGTAAAATAAATTGTTTTATTTATAATTATGTCAATCTCTAATCCAACAGATATACAATGGGTGATGCAGTTATGTCTGGTACATTAGGTCTGGGCGGAATCCATTTATGTTATCACCAGAAAGCCAGCGAGCAGTTACAATTAGCCGTAGAACTAGAAACAAATTTTAGAATGCAAGAATCAGTTGCTTCCATCGGTTACCAAGTAGATTTGCCAAAAGCAGACTTGATTTTTAGAGGTAATAATTTGAATTATTATTTACCCAATGCTGACATTTACATAATTGTTTTCAATAATCCTATTTCTTTTACCCCAGGGATGGTAGATTCAAATTGGAACATAGGAGGAGTGTTGGAGAAAAAATTAGCCCCACTGCCATTTAGTTTTGCTCTTAGTGGAATGATGAATCACAATAAGAATCAATTCCGTTTGGGATGCGGTTTAATAATTGGTTAAGTGTACAACTGTATAATTTTTGACTTGTTTGATATCAACATAGAAACCAATGACTTTTTTTTGCAATGTTAGGAAATAATATGTATTGTCATTCTATATTAATTTTATGCCATAATTTTGCATAATAATTGTTCATCAACATGAAATTGATATTTGTGAAGTCCACTTTTAGTACATGTAAGCAGATGAGAGGTGTAAAAATATACATTTTGCATCCATTAAGTTTTCGATTCATCATTTACCCTGTGATCTGCTTACTATTAGTTCTATAGTTGTGGGCCTTATGTGTGCCCTTAAAGTAATTATATAAGTTTATAAATATGTACATATTTCTAATATTTTTATTGTATATTTTCCGTTTCTCTTCTTTTATTTTATACAGTAAGTTTGTTGATAATAAAGAGAAAATTATTTACAATTATACTTTTTTATAATTTTATGCAGCTTAAACCCAAGAAAAATGCCTGAATAGAAATCTTATAAATATTATGTTATAGTCGATTGTATTTGTTAAAATTTCAGATATATATTGTGTATATATATATATTGTGTATATATATAAAAATTAATACTCTCGTACCACTATTTTTGCATCTGAGCACAATATTCTTACCTTAAAATGATTAACAAATTTTTTTAATAATTCTAGTTAAATAACTGACCTTATATGAGGTTGTTTTCACTTGATTTTTTTCTGCAGGCTTGTAATATAATTTTTTCACTGGGGTTTAGTAGGCCATTTGCCATCCTCCATCCTTTTTATAGCAACTGAGCACAATATTTTTAGATTTAAATGTTTATATTATTTAATAAATGACTGACAAATTATTAGAATTAAATATAAATTATTAGAATGATTCTAGTTGAATAATAACTGACTGACAGAATTTTCTCATATACTTTTTTTTGTTATGATTTAGAACTTACTTTCTAAATTTTGTTATGACAAGGCTGAATGTTTAGTCAATAATTTAAAGTATATTAAAAACTATTTATTTCAAATTATGAAAATAGCAACGTTAAAAATAAAAAAATATACTTTCAAAATGAAAATAAACTTTGGCGACGTTTTCTCAAAAATGGCTGCACTGGTTTCAAAAATTGAAAAACAATATGATAAAACTCTATAAAGACTGATTAGTATTGGAAGACGATCTGCACAGCCGTTTTTGTACAATTAACAGATAAGTGCAAATTTTTTTTACGTTTAAAATTCTGAACCGATTTTCAAATATCAAAATCTGTTCGAAAGATATCGATAAATGTCACTGACACCTAGTTAATATCGCTTAAAAATTAATTTGTTTATTTTGTTATCGATATGAGTTGCAAACTGTACTGCAAAAATTTGTACCCGTCGTACCAAACCAAACTGTGTGAGTTCAGTACCCTTTGAAAATGTTTTAGAACCGTTCAGTTGCGAGTAGTGGTGATGGTGGTCATTGCACATTGATTCGTCCGCTGCAACTTCATTCGGTCCCTTTCAAAATCAGCTGTGTATTTGCGCCTTGCGTCACGCACGCGAAAGACTTGAAAGAATGCTTTTGCAAAGTTTGTTGTGGTAGACATGAAACGTATCTGATGAGATTGCAAAATGTAAATAGCATGCCATACAATAATTTTACGCGTTTGGGTTGTTTACAATACTATTTACCGGCGTGCTAATATACTAAGCGGGGTCATTGGTAATTTGTATTCGAAATTATTCCGTGTTTTGCTAACATACGATCAACAATGTTGTGATCAGTGCTATTTCGCTCCTGTCGCATAGGTGCTCGTTTTGCTAGACGATTTATTATTAAATACATGCAATTGTCATGAGCTGATCCCAGACAATCGAAATCATCAACAACAATGGGCAATTGTTTGAAGAGAAGCACAGCTGATGATATATCATTGCTGCGAGGACATGATAGTGGCCGTGAATCTTCTTCAGAACAATTGGGACCACCACATTTTCAGGTAATCCTATCGTTTCTATCACTCCATCTGTCACATGGTTTATTTTATGTCAGACAACTTAAATTCCACAAGTAACATTAAGATACTCTTGTTTATCGAGGATGTTATTCTAATTAATAACACTGATACAAAGAGTTTTTGTCACACCAACTTATTGTTCAAACTGAACTAGCCTCAATAAAAGTATATAACTTTATCATATCCAGATTTTTAGCGATAGATACATGTTTAATTCTGACCACATGGTCATTTCTTTGTTTAAATAATTGCTTTTAGTTAGCAATGTATCTTGTGGATTCACTAAATTATATGTTATTTACGTTAGTGAGATCGAAAACATGCTTTAAAAGTGTATGATTGCATCCCAGAGAGCTTTTATTATGTGCGTGGAGAATCAAGTTTTACATCGACATATTATTTCACTAATTGCACATTGCTATTAAGACTAATTTGGTTTTCGGTGAGGAATTCAAGACAAACTCTTGGTTCCACATGGATGTGGAATGTGGCAAAAAAACCTTGAAATTGGTCATTTGCTATATCAATGATTTGGATGGAACCAAATCATTGTGTAAGTAATTGTTAATTTTGTTTGACTCAAATGAAAGGCATTACTGGTAATTTCAAACAATCTATACAGCATTCCAACTGGTTTTTGTACAAGAGACTCATTATACATAGTGCCAAACTGTCTGTGCCGATGCCACTAAATTAAACAAAAAGTGAAGATTATAGTCCAATAATTATTAGTCGGCGTGGTAAGATGTCTTAAGATAGTGATAAGAGCTTTAGGGTCTAATATGCCCTCAAAAATATGTATAGTGGTGTTTGATTTGGATTCCTTTCCAAAATTTGTATGTATTCAGTGACCAATAAGTCCATCCTTAATGTGGAAGCGTTATCAGGATAAATCCAGGAATGCTGACAAATTGTAATTGCGCACTTAAAAGAAATCTACCAAAGGCCACATATTTAAAAGAAAACGCAAGGGTTTATTAGATATTGGGTAATAATTTTATGAGGGGGGATGGTTTTTCTGCTTTTAATAAATATTTACTTTGAAGTCGCAAGAAAAGTTTATTAGTGTAGTTTATTTACAAGTTTTTGAAAAAGGTGATGATAAAACCAAGAATTTCACTTACACTGGAGGATACATAAGAGCTTTGTAATTCTTGTGAAGAAAGGCTTAGGATACCAAGAATTAAAAATAAAAATTTATTACAATCGTTTTTTAAATTATAAATGTTTCTTTGCAAGCCCTTGAAACTGTGATGATGACCTTACATTAGAGGATCCATATAAAATATAACATTCTCATAGCAACCTTTCCTATTAAGAAATATCCATGATAAAGTTTGGCATTGATTTCTCTTCTAGGAGATTCTGCAACCTGTCTATTACCCTTCACCTAATGTCAGCCGACCTGCTTGTCACCTCACCGAAGAGGAGCAAATAAAAATAGCGAAGAGAATTGGTCTGATCCAACATTTACCAAGCGGCACCTATGATGGATGCAAGAAGGCACGTGAATGTGTGATCTGCATGGTCGAGTTTGCAGTGGGCGACTCTGTCAGATATCTTCCCTGTATGCACACTTACCATGTCATGTGCATTGATGATTGGCTGATGCGCAGCCTCACTTGCCCAAGTTGCATGGAGCCAGTAGATACAGCGCTACTTTCTACTTACGAAACAACTTAGTGAACAAATGATGATCAGTGTCTGGGGAGTGCAATTATTGTATAGTACTTAGATTAAGTGTATGAAATGGAGGTGGTTCTAATATTTTAAAGATGACTTCAATCAATTTGACTGAGCAACACAACATATTCTAAAATTTGGAATGAAGAGTTTTAGATTTTTGATAGGCTTGAATGATATTTTCTAAAAATTGCATGTTATTATTTAAAATATTTGTATGATTTTATTTTGAACACATAGTGTAGTTTTTGTAAGTTTTTATTTTATATAATTAGAATTATTGAGATTTTAGCAACACAATAGCCTGGATTTATATAGGGTGTGTTTTTTAGACTGTGATTTCATGATACTGACTGTAAGATAATTTTAAGTAACAATATGAAAGTGAATTATGATCAAATTAGTAATGTAGTAACATTTAGAGATCTTACTTTAGTTTCTCCAGTCAACATATTTCTTTTAGAGTATACATAATATTATAAAAAAAATCATTTATAAATGTTTTTAGCATAGGAATCTGCGATATGGCAAAAATTGTGATACACGGCTACTGCCCTGGCACTGTCCAAGGACCTTAAACCACCAGTTGTAAATAATTTTGTTATTTAAACTGTGGCTTGCAATATAAGCTTACATTATAGATATAATCTAATATTTCTAAATATATACAGTTTAGATGTACCTTAGATTCAACCCGTATGGGTTGAAAAATATATAATATTTTATAAAAGTAATGTTTTATTAAAACATATTTAATTTTAATTTATATTTGTGTTACAGAACTATTTCATTAAGCCGAATAACATACAATTTTCAAATAAGAAATTAATTATTAAATGGATAATATTAATATGTGATGTGTCTGTAACTGAATAATTTTTATGGAGTTTATTAAATATGTTAATTATTTTTAATGGAAAGTTAATAGAATGTGAGATTTATTACTATTAGTTTCTGGATCTTTTATAATTTTTAACTTTTAGTCAAATGATTTCTTTGTGTTCTTGTTGGGGAATCCATTTTGCTTATTTTAGGTCTTCTCAATCCATTAAGTGATTCTGAATCATTTGGCACAAAAATTGCGAAAAAATTGTCTTTGTACCCTATTTTCATTAACACAAATTAATTTTAAAAGATAATCGGATTTATTTTAAATTGATTTGAAAATTCAAAATGTTTTTTAAAGAATTTGCTTTAGTAAAATATTTATTAATTTTGTAAATGGTCACGCACTTTTATTGCAATCAACATATAAATATTTAATAATTTATCTCATGTAAATTTTAAGAATCGGTTTTAAAATATTAAATCTGTTTGCAAGGACCAGTTGGTCTGCCTGAATCCTTTTGTGAAAAATGAAAAAAAAAAATCTTTTAGCAGTTTTAGAAACTAAATCCCAATTCTTGTTGATCATTTCGATTATTATTATATATCTGGAAGTTTTGTTTTATCTGAATTTTTAAAATTATAATTTTGAAAAAGTATATGAGCGAGCCAAGCGACATTTTTTTTTGATGAGGATCTTGTTTTGTTGAAGTTGTTTTTTTTCAAGCATGTGCGTTATTTATTTGGGTTATTTTTGTTTTCGTACGATGAATGTGCGTATTAAATTGTTTGTAATATTATTTTTGTAAATTTGTAATCACACATTTTTTGTACAATTTATCTTTATTTTTAAGTATTTTTATTTATTGGAATGTATTAAGTCTTATACACCACAAGTTTCGATATAATTATTCGCGATTTATATTATTTCAACTGACCTTATTATTAAAGGTTTTATTGATTTATATATTCAACATTTTTACTGTATTAATTATAATAAACAACTTTAATTAGTTTTTTTTACAAGCTCAAATTTTCCGCCGCTCAACACAAAATTTGTAGCCGAATAATTAATTTATTCATTTGTGGATCAAATTTATTATAACGTGCCCCATGACAAAGTGTCCCACATAATAATTAATTTTTCGAATCGGAACTTGTAATCAGAGTTTTTGTAATTTTTGTTCTATATTCATCGTTTATGAGCGGCCTGTGTTGCGGCACGGGCCGTCCCCGTGTCTGATTGTCCATGTAGGGACAATGTCCACCGAGATCATTAAGTCACATTTATTAGTAGTGGGGCTTCGCAACAGTGGCGTACTTATGTACACAAATGAATAAAAATTAATTTTAAACTTCAATTAAATACAGTGATATTTTTATATATTATTAATAGCAATCTGTTATAAGCTATTGTGCTGACTTCTTGACGACGTGAGTTTTTACATGGCAACTTAAACAGTTGTCCTATAGTCCTAGCTTTTTTAGATGAATTTATTATGAAATTTTTAATACTGATTAATGTTTATTGATACAACAGTGTTCCGTAAGCCTCATATTTCTATCTATATAGATGTGTAATTTTTATTTCTTGGACATGTTTTTATGAGTAACGATTGGATAATCTTGAGACGGAACAAAATACTTGGGCGGCTTGTTGGCTCGAACAGCAGTGTCTGTCCTGTACGATTGAAGCTCTCGTAACGAAAGGATTAATATCCGTTTCAGCTTTTTTTTTTTTTGCAAAACCTTGTGCGACTACCTAATATACTATAAAATTACTTCAGTTTAAATACTAATTATGGATATGCTTGGATTATGATTAAATGAACAAATATAGAGAAGATGAATGAGTAAATAACGATTCGATTACCAATAATCAATTTTTTTCTTCTACTTCACTGTGCGGAGTGCACGGGCCGTATACGAGCGATAATATTTCATGGGCTTTCCGTCAATGATCTTCGCGGCTAACAGTTTAGTGTTTTTCGTTAATCAATCGGTTGCGGTTAGTGAGAAGAATCTCGTGTTTTGCATGTGCTGAATCTCTTTTATCTCGATGCGCGATGCAGAATTCTCTTCCGGCCTGCTGCTTAATGCTGCTCTTCGTCCTACCTGCCTATGCAGCAATTCATGACAACAGCATTCCTGACTTCGCCCAGACCATAATAGCGGCGCAGGCATCCTGTCCGAGTTGTAGGGAGAACGCTTTTCATGTATCCGAAGATGAGTTGACAGCGTTGAGGATAGATTTTGTGAAGAACCAGATTTTGAAGAAGTTGCGGATGAAAGAACGACCAGCAGTCAACATACCGTTGTCCGGGGTTCCTAAGCCGGTTGCCGAAGGTGCGACAATTGAATCTTATCGGGAGAATAAACATCATAAGGAGCGGGATGAATACTATGGGAAAACTACTCAGAAGATCATATTTCCTAAAGAAGGTTGGATGAAAATATTAAAAATTATCCCACTGTATATTGATAGCCGTCCAATATGATAATCAGTATTTTTACGTTTTAATAGGATACTAGTTCTTTGTATTTGTTCTAAATATTCATTTTGTTTGTAGATAATTCGCGGTGTGCAGTGCTCCCAAACGAACGTTATCCCTCTGCCTGTTTTTCAATTGATTTACCTAAAGACGTAGACGCAGTAGATGTCAGCGTAGCAGCCTTATGGCTCTATAAGGAAAGTGATGATTTAGACTCCCATAATCAAACGTTTCTGGTATCCACAGTGGGTCATTGGGACTCCAAAAGAAGCTTTATGAAGACAAACTCAATAGCAATAATCGAGACAAGTGTTGGAAGTAAAATACATTTTTAAAAATACTTGAATTAATTTATATATTCAATTAATTTATAAAAAATAAATTTCTACTTAGAGGGTTGGGTGAAAGCAGACATAGCATGGTCAGTTAAAAATTGGTTTCAATACCATGAATTATCGCAAACTATTCGAGTGGTGTGCATGACTTGTGCAATGGAAGCTGAAGACACACCTGTGTCGTTGGAGACTCATTTTAGGCCTTTTATAGTGATTGATACTCATTCGCAAACGAAAAAACGCCGCAAGAAGCGAAATATCAATTGTGGTCCCGGAGTTCATGAATGTTGTCGGGAAAAACTATATATATCGTTCAAGGACATTGGCTGGGATGACTGGATACTTCATCCGAATGGGTACCACGCCTATTTCTGCAGAGGGTCCTGCTCAACGGCCGCTTCAGTGACCCTCAGTGCTTCGCCTCATAACTCCATGCTCAGGGTAAGTGGAAAAAGATAATTTTATATCTTCCGCATGAACGAAACTATAATTTTATTTTATGTATGAATCTACTTTTGTAAGTGTTCGAAACGAGGTGAAGCACTAATTGAGATAAATCTATTCATGAGTTAGAATTTTTACTATAATTCTAATGTACTACATGTCTAGATAAAACAAATCAATCACGATCGTTTCGAAACAAGTTCAAAAGTCAGAACTGGAATTTAAGGCCTAATATCCGGATCGCATGACCCTTGTCCGTGATTAGTAATAAATGGTAGATATGTGCCAGACAATATCATAGTGTAATATTAAATTATGTTCATTACTTTGTAACATAAATAAATATCAGATACACTGTTGAAAATTCTTCTTCGGTTTGCAATTTCCTAAATAATCTAAATTTCAAATTTCAACTGCTTGTATAGATAACCAATCCTAATCTCATAGAAAGTTTCTTAAAAATCGTTAAAAACAGTTTAACAATGAATCATGAAGATGATTTTTCACCAAAAGCTAATTATCACGATTCCCAATTGATGTATTTTGAAGGTTTTTCAAAATCGGTTTATAACGATGTCAAAGAAATATTTTGCACTTATCTGGTAATTATAAAAGATGACTCAAACGAAATATTTTTTTTAATTTTTGAAAACGCCGCCGTTTTGAAAAAAAGTCGACCTATACACCTATATACTTTGTGCAATTTCGATATCAAACGATTTAGAAAGATGAAACGTTGAGAAAATGTAAAATTAGCAAATCGGATTTTCTGCCAAAAATATAAACTTTTCCTTCGAGAATATTAATTCACCTGCCACAGTTTCTAACATCTTTATCAACTCGATCAACTCATTAATAGCAATGGACAATTAAACGTCTCCAAATGCAATTACAAAAGTCTCGGGTTAATATGGGTTAATGTGTTACAAATTATGCAAGTTCAAATCACAGATTTATCTATGTAACGATACTTTGTTTATTATCGATTAAAAGAAAAAAATCAAATCGAAAACAAAGGATGAAATAAAGATCTTCTGATTGCGTCAGAGTCCAAAGTGCTAGAATTCTGAATTGCTTTTTAACAATACAATACAATACGATCAGTCAAGATGGTACTGCATATTAAATAGCAATCAGCTCAGTGATAATGAGCAAACAAAATGTTCATAACACTTTGGACTCGAAGACTTTGCGACACAGTGCAAATGATAAAACAAAACGATTTTTTATATGCATTGGATACATAGATAGATAGTACTTCTTAACTACATGACTTTTTTCGGATTATCCTATCTATAGTTTATACAAATTTGGTTGACTTAATGGTTGTCCTATTGCTACATATTTTTGGATTTTTTTATTTCTTATCAGAATTGATATATTTATAGAAAGAATTATTTTTACTTGCAAACATATTTTCATCTATTATAGACTAATTATAAGTACATTATCTCGAATACTAATTGATTGAACAATATTTACTGAAACTAAATCAATTCTCCCGAAGGTAGATGCAACGTGTTCTCAAAATAGATTAATTATTTATTGCAACAACAACATATCCGTTTGTCTTACGATCTAGTACGAGTGAAAGCAGTTGAATAAATAAATTTAGTTAAAATTTGCTAATATTGCTTAAAACATAAGCGCCAGTGGCACTGACCTCCTGAGATAAACAGAAACTCACGTCTGGATAAATAAGGAAAAGACGCGGAGTATGTAACCCTGAGGGTTTCAAAATTTAAAGATTTAATTTATTTTTAAATTTAATATTTGTTTAAATAATTTGCTTTACACACACACAATGGGAGATTTGTAGCGCTCAATCACGAAGTTCCAGGGTAAAACCCGCGTTTCGGACAATCTGGATTCTAGATCTAGATCAGCTGATATCCTTTTGGACTTGAAAATATATATGGCAGGGTGTTTCAAGTGAAAATATCCATTACCGTCACTGTTCCAATAAGTTTACAATATAAAGTTGTTACAATATTAAGTTGTCTTCTAAAAACTCAAGTAGTTAAGAAGTATTATCAAACCTGCTTATAGACATCGTCAGTTCTGATTAAAAGATATGAAACAACACTTTTGCCATGATCCTATATAATATTTTTAATTGGGCTTATTATTATCCTTTTCCAGAAAGTAATGAACATGCATGGAGACGATCGCGGCCTAAACGACAACCACATTTTGACCCATTCCGGAGACAGTAAAAGATTCGAAATCATTCCATGTTGTACGGCCACACAATATTCATCTCTTCAATTGCTCTATATGGAGAACAACAACACTGCCACACAGAAGACACTGCCAAATATGGTAGTCGAATCCTGCGGCTGCATGTGATGGAAAAAAGGTAACTAGGAAATATACCTTTGATTAACCTCTTTAGAAAATTGAAAGATCGCTAGTGATTAAGTTATTTGATTAGTTAAAATTACATGGTTTGTGTATTTCGATGTATGTATGTGTCGGTAATTGTTAAATTAAAATATGTATTAACAAAATGGTGTAAAATTTAGAGTAAATTATTTTGAATGATATTAGATGAAAGAGGTAAGTATGTTTTAGAGAACTATGAATTTATTCAAGAAGATTAGTGTGAGAAGTGTTTTATTAGTATTTTAAACCGCGAAACCCGAATGGGCCATTTTCACATATTTTGATCTATGTTTTCAAGTTAAAATAGAAATCACTGCTGATGCCGAAATGCGGGATCGATGTACGATGCGTATAAATCTATGTATATATATATATATATATATATATATATATATATATATATATATATTAGTCCTGTTTTTATATTGATTCATGCTGGTTTTGTGAACAATCAATCCAAAATAAAAACTGCTGTTAATCCAAAATAATGCCTTCACAAACTTTGCTTTTATTTTGGATCAACTATTTAGAATACAACATATACTATTCATTTATTACGGTGGGTCAGATTTTTTAGTTTTTGAGGAAATTTGCGATTCTGGTTCTACGCGTCATTTTAAGAAACTTTGCCGAAGAAACCATAGATCGCAAATGAATTTCAAATATAGTTCTTTCATACTTATATATTTTTTAAGTTTTAGATATTGTAAAAAAGCATTTCTGACATTTATACAAATTACAGGACGCTTTCGTTTATTTTTTTAGATCTTTTAGTCCTTGATGAAATTGTTGCAAAAATGGACAAATATTTAAGTTTTTTATGATATAAGCCAAAACTGTTCATTTAATAACTGTCCTACTGAAGGAAATATTTGAAATAATTGCTAGAAATTGATTTCTCGACTTCAAAACTCTTGCATTAGGCTAGTAAAAAATAATTAGTTTTTGCTTTTTTAAACAATGGCTATGGTTTCTTTGGCAAATGCAAAGTGCTTCTGTGATTTTTTTTGGTTCCATACAATTTGACCCACTTTAATATAGATTATTCATATATAATAATAATAAATAGTTTTTGCTCGAAGGCAGGCTTATGGTGTGAGAGCATCACAAATCAACGATTTTTTTCCCCTTCCTTGTTCATTAATCCCATTGCCATCTTATTACTAATAATTTACATTGCATAAACATTTTCCTTTCCAAACCTCTGCTTCCATTTTTCTTAGTCCTATGCTTCAACTTTCAGTTCTCTGTATTTTCTCGTAAGCCATCAAACATCTGCATTCTTCTTCTTTCAAATCCTTTAGTTCTTATATTTTACCTTCGACTACATCATGTAGGCACTGTGTAGATTGGGTCTGATCCAGTTTCCTTTCCTTTTAATGATCATACTCAGTAGAGTTCTATTTATAAATATTATTAATTTTTATTCCAATTGAAAAAAGTCCATTCGGGTACTATTATATAATATGAGAGGCATTTAGAAATAAAACAATCCGTTGGAGTTTGAATTAGCTTCAAATTGCTTAATTATAATTTTATTTACAAGTTAGAGATATTTATGGTTAAATGCCAATAATTTAGAATAAGTATTAAAATCGTGCCAATCATCGACAAAAAGCAGGTCTTTTACCATTAGTATGTAAGTAAATTGTAATAAATAAATTTACAAGTGCATTAATTACAAATGGCTGGGACCATTAATTATAGATTATAATTTAATATCTGTGATACACGTCCAAATAGAGAAAAATGTTCGATTCGTGTGCAAGTGGTGAGATTATGTTACACAGATTATATTATAAAAGATACAACGAATGTTCGATTTAAATTTAATTCGATAGTGACTGAACTCTCTCGATCTATAAACTAGGAAAATGAATCGTTTCCTATTAATATTCATGTGATATAACATCACGAGGATTACTTGCGAAATAACAATCGTCGGAACAGTATAATATATGCATACAAATGTATAATGATTTTTTTCTAAACGAAATACTTTTTTTTTAAAGAATTATTTACTTAATTTTTTGTTTATAGATATTTTTACGTGACCCCGTTTTCAGGACTTTGAATTTTTAAAACCAATTTTTTTAACACTTAATAAAAACCAAATTGTACATTCATTAAAAATTTTAGTATATAAAGGGTCCGCCAAAAAAATTTTTTTTTGAAAATGTTATAAAAAAAAACAACTGAATATTTTCTCAAATTTCTTTTTTCATTTGAAAGTACAATCTTTCCGGTTAAATAAGGAAAATAATTTCATTCAAATGACTGCCTTGGCTGGTCATTGAAAAAAAATGAAAAAAAAGTTAGATGGCGGATCCTATATAATAAATTATATATAACCAAATGATGAGTTAGAAAATTAAAAATTGGTATATCGAATTTTTTTAAATGGTATATAATTACCATTTAAATATCAATTTTTTTAAATGGTATATAATTACCAGAGTGGGATTCTTCAGATTAAAAAAAATTAATACAATACGCGATGAGAACTACTTTATTGTAAAAATGTATACATATATTTATTGTTGCACAATAGGTAATAATTTATATGACAACTTATATAGGTAATAATTTATATGATAACAATTCAATTAAAAAATAGAAATGAATTTAATATATATGTATATATAATTATATTTACTTTAATTTTTAATTTTAGCCTAATATTGTATTTATAATTATTTATAAATTATATTGTGTTAAAGTATTCAATTTTTATAAATAAATTTTTATTATTATATCTTGAAATATCTTTCAAATATCCTTAATATGATAGAGGATTTTCATACAGGATCTTAGTGTAATATTAAGGTGACCATAGTTTTTTAGGTCAAAACCGTGACGACAACTTGTAGTTTTCCTAATCTAAAATTTTATGCTAAATCACTTAAATATGATTTAAAATAACAAGTATTCAAAGACAATATAATCAATTATTTTGAAAAATTTTTTTTCAAGTCGGGATTACTGTCTTTTAGAAGGACTTTTGTATTCGGATATATGCTCTATAGTATCTTATATTTTTTATCTAAACGTTTTTTTTAAGCCTTATATGAAATTCTGTTGAATTTTTTTCATAATGAACTCATTTTTAGTATAAATAAGCACTTTCATCAGGCAGTCTAAAAGTTCGATTTTACAATTTTTGCTAATTTTCGTAATTTTTTTGTTGTAATTTCATTATCAAGTATTTGCGAAAGTTCAGTTTAAACCTATACATTTTAAAAACCCAGGACAATTTGGGACAAGAGGTCAAAATTCGAAACAAATATTGATTTTTAGGAAAACCTGGAACAAGGTAAAAATCCGGGACTGTCCCGGCCAAACCGGGACCTATGGTCACCTTAGTAATATATGTAAAAGAAGTTTGGGAACTTGTGGTTTGTCACTAAGCAAAGTTTCATTTAAATCATAAAAAAAGAATTAAGAAAATTTTTAATTAAAAAAAAACTTATTTGCTAATTAAAAAGAAACGGTTCAACCGATAGTCAATACGAATCCTTACCGGGTATAATTTTGTTATCGTTCTGGAACGTGAAAAATATTTCAGGTGAATATATATAAATTTAATTAAAAGTGGTCTATCATCTCGATCCTAATTATATCTCGTCGTATATAAATTTAGTTCAATTATTGAGCGCAGACATATAGAACTGAATTATGCAATATCCACCGAGTTGTAGTATTGACTAATTTTGTTGGCATGAAAATTAAGCGATGCAGAAACAATCGAGATGACTTCATTCCGTCTTAATTCAGAATTCAGATTCCGTTTGCATTCATTAATTTCACAAACGGCCGCGAGCGAGGAATCCGCGGCGCCTGAGAATGAATTATTGAAAGTTATTGGGCAACCGATGAAAATAAATTAAGTGTTTAATTATAATATTATTGAATCCTTGTGGATTAGTTGTTAAAGCTATGGATTTCAAATGGGGTCCAAGGTTTGATGCCTGCCTCGGGCAGCCAGATGTCAAGTAGTAGTGATACGGTATCGCCACTGCATGACAATGGTATCACCTATACCGATTTTCATTTTGAAATATTGATAGCAACTTATTTCCAAGTGAAAATTGCGCTTTCAATCATCAGTATTACAGAAATTATAATAATAAAATTCATCATTTAGAATTTGGACAACCCTCTGGGTTGCAATCTATAACAGTAACGTAGTGATATAAATAATAAACTAATGGTGCCTTAAGACAAATTGCTAGAACTTTCCGTGTCGTAATAAATATTCGAGAAATTTCAAATATTTTTAAATAGACTATTATAAGTATTGTAGCTTTCATTATTCGTATGTTATAGACAAAATATAAGAGTTTACAAATTATGCGACGGTGTTTATATATGTTTACATAAGAAGTAAATAAAAAAAACTTAATGAAACGGAGTTAGAAACAAAGACCTTATTTAATGTTTCTAAGTATTATATAAACTGAATTGCAAAGTTTTTCTTTTTTTAATTTTATTTGGCTTCGCTTACTCTGAGCATTTAGCCACCTACAACATTTTATTTATTTACATTCTATACTAACTTTTATATCATATTCAATGTATATATATCCTATTCTATATTCTTTTTAATTTTTATTCTTATTATTTTCTTCAACTCTTGCTTTTTCATGTCAAATTTCTATTCAACTTCTGTCTTCATTCTATTTTTGTTTTCTTCATTCTTCTTTTTAATATTAGCAAATTCTAATATTTTTTTCTTCTTACTCTTAATACAATTCAGCTATTCGAATTTTGTAATTCAATTTCTACTTAACAAATACAATTTTTATCAATTTTTTTATCCAGGTAATCCATTTTTTCAATAATTGCTATTTTTCGCACTTTTTGCTCCATATCTTCGAAACGGCTAAACTGCCTTCTCAAAAACGTACGTTCTCTTGAAACCTATCATTTCAGCACTTTTTGCTCAGTGCATCCCAAACGGGTGGACCTGTCTTTGATACAAACTTGTCAGCACGTCTCCCTAACAATAGGAATGGAATGATTTTGTATGTATTTATGTATGGATACACTTTTTCGTCCACGTTTTCGGACGCACGGATCAATCGATTTAAGTGGTTAAACAAACATTCGATTTCTATCGATAAGGAGAAGGCAAGTCCAACCGTTTCGGAGAT